GTGTATGAACTGTGTTAGCAGAAACTGTTGTTCGGGTGCTATGAGGTTGTGGCGTTCTACTTAGTTTATTAATGCCTCAACGATGATTGCGTTCATCACTTTTGAGAGCACAGGGAGGAGGACCACTGGCTAACGAATGCCGTGCGTCAGTCGACCTCTAAACAATGCGGGAACAGGTCTCTAACTAGATAACGCGCAAGCGTCTCTGGTCACTAGCTCATCAACATCATCATCGAGCTCCGCCGTCGCTGGGGTGATCTCATCTACACTAAGCGCATCTTCCGAGGGGAACTTGGGAGTGACTTACAGCAATTCTGCCGGCCCAACACTGATTGTTCCACACGAGGTCACACATGGTAACTGTTTAAGCAAAGAAGGCACAGAATTCACTTGGACGTCACTCTATCCACTACAGTGGTGAATGATTGGAACAGCCTACCGGAAGAAATTGCAGACGCTCCATCCGAGGAAAGCTTCAGGCGGCTGATAGACAAACATTCGCTGAGAATGCTGGAATCTTGCGGCTGTCACTAAAATTGTGACGAACCCTCGAGGAACGTCGTAATGCAACGACACGCATCAAATCCAGTATGATACGGAATCGATGGAGTTGACAAGGGATTTCCCTCCTGCTTTCTACAACTCAATGAAATTAATGAAGTCCATCAGCCATTTGAACTGATGCTTCGCTGCCATACAACCATGAGGACCTATGAAATAAAGAATAAGAAGAGGGAGAGAAAGGGGACTTACCTGAAAACCTAAATGCCCTAAGCAAACATTCAGGGTCAAGGCGCCTACACCTTGTGTAGACAACATAACATCACAAACAGCATGCTATCGTGCAAACATAAGGCGGCATCGGCGAGACCGCTTTCTTGCAGCTTTCATTGCCACGCGTCGTACTCAGCCATTACCCCGCAGATAACTCACCACCAAACACACTTTAAACAGACAATCCGATTAGAAGACGGCAGCAAACGCAGCACTGGTGTCGGTTGCGAGCTATGTCCTGTAAAGTCCCGAGCCAAGCACAAGGCGAGTCACGTGGACTCCAGCCCGGAAGACGAGAAGGACCAACGGGACCAAGTTTGGTTGTCAGTGACTTCATTTCCTGCTGTCAACTGAACTTCTGCCCACATGGAGCTTTGCGCCACCCTACACCTGGCAAACTAAATAAGGGCCTCCTAGGTAAGCGGTGACCAGGCATAAGTAGCACGTGCCTGAGCCAACGCAACTTATTCAGTCCTATCTGTTGTTCTAGGGAGCTAGCATGATCATCACCTAGTACTCGCCTACGCACATCATCTTTGCGGACACGCTGGTACCATCAGACACCAGCAATGCTTCGCAGACAACGATGATCAAAGATATGCAGACGCCTCAGATCTTCAGACCGAAGGGGCCAAGTTTCACTACTATAGAGCAGAACGGCCCTCACTGTGGCCTTGTGTACACGGCCTTTCAGACGGAGCGAAAGTTCCTTCTGTCGCCAAAGATGCCGCAGGTTCATGAAGGCGGCTCTGGCCTTTGCAATGCGTGAGCTAACGTCAGTTTCTGTGCGCCCATCATTGCTGATGTGGCTGCCAACATAAGTGAAATGATCAACCACCTCGAGTTCCTCGTTAGCAAGCGTCAAGGGTCATCAAGGGGCTGGTGGTCCTGCAGCAACACTTTGCACTTTGAAGGTGCGAAGTGCATACCAAATAATGGGACCACTCTGGACAGGCTATTCAGGGTTGATTGTGCCGCCCCAACATCGTCGAAAAGCAAGACGATATCGTCCGCATAATCTAGATCAACTAACCGTTCACCAGGCAGCACTTCAACACCTACATCTTGAGATTCCGCAAGGGAACACTCCATGATAGAATCCACGACGAAATTGAACAAAAATGGGGAAATCGGACAACCCTGACGAACGCCACTTGTAGTCGGAAAGCTATCCGATAGGACGCCGTAAACCCTGATGCGGCTTGTGGTGTTCGAGTATAGAGCACGAAGGATGTTCACATATTTCGTGGGAACACCATTCCGCGCAAGTAATTCGAACAAAATCGATCGATCGACTGAATCGAACGCACTCTTGAAATCGAGGAACACAGCTATTGTCAGTCTGTGGTATGCGTGGCGCTGCTCTAGCACCTGCCGCAAAGTGAATATATGGTCTATACAGCCACGCCCTGGGCGAAAACCGGCCTGCTCTTCCCTAATCCGAGATTCCCGTTCTGCAGTGAGGCGACGAAAGATAATCGAGGCCAGTAATTTTGTCACAACTGGCGTTAGGCTAATACCCCTGTGGTCAGAACAGTCTGTGCGACTGCCCTTCTTGTATATTGCCACTATAATCGATTTGCTCCAATTAGCCGGGACACTCTCTCCCTTACACATACATTCGAATAAGGAGGTCAGTGCTTTACAGAGGACCTCACCTCCATCCTTAAATAGTGCAGGTGGGAGAGAATCCTGGCCAGCGGCACGAAAACGATTGAGGGCTGTGATCGCGTTTCGGACTTCGGCCTCCGACGGAGGCTCTAAACTAACCGTCCATGGCACGTCCTGCATCACCTGAGTAGGAAGAGGTCCGGGAGCAGGGGGCCAGCTGAACTGATCTTCAAAGTGTTCAGCCCAACGAGCCATACGGCGCTCCTTATTGTGTATCAGCGCACCCGCGCTGTCTCTGATTGCGTCACTGACGCCTGGCTTTCTGGGACCAGTGGTGCGGATTAGCTGGAAGAGCTTGCGGTAACTGTCTACTGCTCCTGCCTCCTCCATTTCTTGAGCTCTACTGGTCCACCAGGCTTCCTTGTCAGCACGTAGGCTCCGCTTTAGTTTACGCCTAATAGCCCGTCTGGTCACATTGTGTTCAGAACCAGCCGGGATGTGTCTTCTAGCTTCCAACAGGTTCACGGACCTCTCCGATATCCAATGACTGGTGCGGTGACGACTGATAGTGCCACAAGCAGATGCTCCTGCGTCGTGCATAGTGGCCGAGATCCTATTCCACTGAAGTTCGGTATCATTAAGAAAAGACTGCGAGTTCGGTATGCAGTGCTTCTTGATAGGATTGCCTGACCGAGGGCTAGGACAATTTCTCCGTTGCCAACCGTAGGGGACGCTTGGTGCGCCTCCCGGTAAAGTCCATGGAGAAACGACAGCGCACCAGGGCATGATAAGAGTCGACACAGGTACTCCAGAACGAGCGGCAATCCAGAATGGAACCACGCCACCTATAACTTATGGCTATGTGGTCAGTTTGGCTCCCTCGCTGGTCAGCTACAGGAGGACGCCAAGTGGCATTTCGACGCCTACTGTGTCTAAAAGCAGTGCTACTAAGAAACAACTGGTGCTCCACACACAGTTGCAGCAGACGCTCACCGTTGTCAGTCCGTTCGGAGTTAAGCCCACATTTACTACCCAGCTGAGCTCCTGAAGAGCTGAGACGCCCTACTTGTGTATTCACATCCCCTGCAAGTACTATAATATCTGAACTAGTAGCACTGCGTAGCAGGGCGTTCAGTTCGTGATAGAATGTGTCCTTGACTGCATTAGAACTGCAGTCGGTGGGAGCATAAACGGAAATCACAAACAAACAGTGTTTTGTACTACTTCGTGAATCCGCCTTAGCTGATGTCGTCAAACGGGCTGCACATAAACGGATGTTCACCGGAATCCAATCAACCAATGATGACTCAGCCTTGGAGCTGAGAATGATACCTACACCAGCTTGACTCGTGAGTGCCGCATCGGCGTCTCCGGATGCGTGCAACCAATAACGAGAGGATAAGCCAGGTGCAGTTAATTCAATAACCCCGTTAGGGTCATTAACCCTAGTTTCGGACACACAACACACATCAACACCCAGTGTGTCCAAGGTGCGTGCGAGTGCAGCCTGTTGACCTGTTTGTCTTAGAGTGCGAACGTGGAATGTCGCCATGGAAACGGTATGGCGTGGCCTTATAAGGAACTTTTGCCGATAGGCGTCCGATAGTTGCGGAGGGATAGTGGCTGCAGAAAGGTTCTACTCCAGTAGCACTACGGTTGCTGTCAATTAAGCTGGGAATTATAGAAGGAAGGTTAGTAATGGGGTCCGGATGGGAGTAAGAGAAACAGGTGGAAAAGGAAAAAGGAAGGCGCCAGTAGTAGCATGTTTTCGCTTATCCGCCCTGCTTTATGCAGCAGATAAGGCGACCATTGATAATCTGCGCGACGGCCGACGCGGGATGAAGTTTATGTTTGAAGAAAATGTCATGGTTGTATGTGGGCCGGGATACTGCAAGGGTGCCCAGACCTAGACAGGAGGACGATTGGGGTCCTCATCTAAAGCCTTTGGCTCAAAAGCCTGTTCGCGAGGCAGGGGGGAGGTGGTAATGATTTAGTTTTAAAGAAATGGACGCCATCTCATTCCAAACCCCTAACCTGGAGAAATAGGATGATGGGTTTGTCTGACCTCTCACTATTGACCAAGCTGGTAGGAGTATCTCTCAAGATGCCCGCAAGCAGCACCCAGTATAGCTCAATGGGTCAAGGAGATACGCAAACCGTCGCACCACCTTAAGATGCAGTCTCTTTGCGCCAGGGTCACTGGATCAAGATCTACTAATCACCGTGTGGTCAGATTAGTAGCGAACTGTTACTAGGTACTGCTTTTTGGATTGCTAGTTACCGAGACCAAGTAACTCCTTATCGGGTTAAATGGTCGCAAACCAGGGCGAGCGGGCACGTGGGTCTGCTGCCGTGATAGCACCACAAACAAAACGGGATTTCTTTAAACCAATAACTGTGTCTGTTTGTTCTGCTTTTACTATGCTGAGTGGCTGACAAACTGAAGATCCATTAGAACTGATAACAAACTAGAGGCGTGCGAAGCTTTGTGAGTTTATCGCGTTCAGTCAACCTGCATGCGGGGTGTAGCTATTAGTGATTTTTGGTGTGGTTCACTTGGCTAAGCGGAATCCATGATAGTAATGATCGCTGATCCCTTTCTCTTAACGCTTCAGATTGTTCAAGTTGGGTAATGACTACCAAGCCAAGTTCATTCCCGCCGTCGAATCTATCTCAAGCACATTTCACGGAACCACGAGAAACAAGCACGAAGTCTGATATTGTCAATTCTGAAGAATTGTCAACAAGTGCAGCCCCAGGAAACAACCTTCATCATGGTCATACAATCCAAATCTCGGATCCACAAGGTAAGTAGCTTTCGGTAATACAACTTTTCTGGTAGCATAATGAGACTTGTCACGAGAAGTTAGACGAGGTTTTATGGTTATTAATTTGATAATTTTCATCACGATGGTCCAGAGCAGGCTAAGCTCAGCTCCACAAGCCTTGTTTGACGGAATGGTGGTTGTCTGAAAGATGAACTAGCGATTTCGTCACATCTTACGCATCCAGACAAACCGTTTGAAAACAGTTGCAACAGGGCAATCAATTCCCGAAAGCCGAAGCAAAATAGTTGTACGGCGCACCGTAGAACGGAGAGCTTTCCTGTTAGATAAGCAAACATAAAAATTCGGGGACCGTGGTTATACTGTAGATGCTTTGTTTCAACCTGGTGGCATCTAGGATTAGTGCCTCTCTACTCAGTCTAAACCAATGGAAGGATCAAGGCTGTATGATACACTGAAACCACGTGCATGGCTTTCGCGGTTGGTTTAAATGGGGAAGGTATTCAGTTTCCTTTGACACATTAAAGGTCGAGGTATTTCATCTCTACGGTTTGTTACTTTTGGCCATGCATACCAGCTTTTGTGAGATATTGCTGCTGATAAGGGCATCATCATACATCATACACGTTAGCTAGAGGTGGGGAACACCTCAGCTACTGTGCCGCAATACATAGAAAAAAGAAAAATGCAACCGGTGCAAGCCGGCTGAGCTACCGGTAACGGATGGGCATCGTTCCGGTAAGCTACCGACCGGCTGCTGTGCACCCAAAAAAATTATTATGCAAAAATATATAAGACTAAGTAATGAGATCGTGGTTGGAGGGGGAGGCTAAGGGGGATGAGGTGGGACAAAGAAACACACAGCACGAACGCCACTGAGGTCGGCTCCTAGCCATATCAGCAAGTGTGTTCAACCAAACGTGTTCATCGTCTTTCGGACCCCAACCAGGGAGCCGAGATGCTCCAACCGAGGCCAGCTCAGAAGTGAGGGTCTTCATTCCTCTGGACCAAGTCATCGCTTGGCCACCCCTCCTCTTCTTCCATCCACAAACCCGGCGCGCAAACAATACACGTCGCGGAAGTCGGTGGGCTGGCATGCGCAACACGTGGCCGAGCCATCGGAGCCTGGTGCGCGAAATGACGGTGCTGAGCGGTTCATTTTCTTTTCCTGTGCCGTAAACAAGGCGTCGGACACGCTCGTTGGTCACGCGGTGTTCCCACCAGATGTGAGCTAAATTACGAAGGCACCGGTGGTCGAACGTAACTAGCCTCTTCAGGTCCGCTGCTTTAAGGGGCCAAGATTCACAACCGTACAGTAGGGTCGAACGTACTGCTGCATTGTACACTCTACCCTTCAGGGCAAGAGTGATGTCGCGCCGGCGTCATAATTGGCAAAGGTTAGCAAAAGCAATTCGAGCTTTTGCTATACGGTTCGTGATTTCATCTTCAATCCCACGGGCGCTGATACAACTTCCCAGGTAGTTGAATTTTTGAACGACTTCTAGCTGATCCCCACCAAGGGTCAGCGTAGGAGGCGGTCCAGACCAATCTTGGAGGAACGTTTTGCACTTCGAGGATGCAAAGCAAAACCCGAAGTGACGGACACCTAGTGCTAATCTGTCCAGTGCCGCTTGGTACATTTGTGAGCTGTCACAGATTAGGGCAATACCATCAGCATACTCTAAATCAAGAAGTCGTTCTCCTGGGAGCAGATCCACACCTTCTAAGTCGTGTCCTGTAAACGCGATTTCCATGACTTCATCAACAGTGAAGTTGAAGAGGAAAGGTGACAGCGGGCATCCTTGTCTCACGCCGCTGGAGATATTATAAGGCGACGACAACTTGCCGTAAGCCCTCACTCTGCCCGAACTACGCACATATAATGCTCGGATAATATTTACATATTTCTCGGGCACACCTTTCCTGAATAGACAGTCCCAAAGTGCATGTCTATCCACCGAATCGAATGCACCTTTGATATCGAGGAATACGACAACGATGGGCCGCCAATATATGTGACGGTGCTCCAACAACTGACGCAAGGTGAAGATGTGGTCAATGCAGCCACGACCTCGACGAAATCCAGCTTGCTGTTCACGAATCTGGCTTTTAGGAGTGTCAGTCAGTCTGTGAAGGATGACAGAGGCAAGCAATTTGGAGGCGATGGAGATCAGACTGATTCCTCTATGGCTGCCGCATTCCGATCTTAAGCCTCCTTTGAAAATTGGGTCTATGACGGGGCGGCTCCAATCGGTTGGGACAGTTTCCTGCTCCCACAGTCTCACTAGTAACTCGTGTAAATCATCCACAAGAGCAAGTCCCCCGAATTTGAAGAGGGCTGGAGGACGGTCATCAGGTCCCGTGGCTTTATTTAACTTCAACAGTTTGATCTCATGTTCGACTTCTGAGCGAGAGGGTGGATCCAAAGGAACAGCCCACGGAGCAGGGCGATCACTGGTCGGCGAGAAATCTAACCATTCCGGCCGATTAAATTGCCTTTCAAAGTGCTCAGCCCAACGTTCCAGGCGTTTTGGTAAATTGTGGATAGGCTGTCCACTCTCGTCACGTATAGTTTCACTAACACCAGGTCTCCTGCTGCCCGTTTCCCATATCAGACGGAATAACGATGGTTACCAAGGGCAGCGGCCATTTCCATCTCTGTTGCACGACGAGACCACCAGGATTCGCGGTCTCTCTTCAGGCTAGCACGGAGTTTTTCCCGGAGCTCTTTGCGAGTTTCATTGTGTTCGCTTCCAGCCGGAATATGCCGGCGAGCATCTATAAGTTCCAAAGACTGCGAAGAGACCCAGTATCCATGTTGGCGATTAGACATACCACATGAGGATTTGCCTGCTGCTAGTAAGGCCTGTTGCATATGAGACCAGTGAGCTTCAATTGCATCCAGTGAGCGTTTATCCAACTCGCATGACAGCGTAATTTGATAGGCGTTCAGAACAGCTGGATTCACCAGTCTGCCGGTGTCAATGCGCTCACAACATCGTCGCGGGCGTCCGCCAAAGCGCATTCGCAGGTCAGCACATAGAGGTGCATGATCGGTGTCAACACGTGTGCTCCAAATCGAGCGACAGTTCTGGACGCAGCCTCTCCAGCGGTAACTGATAGCAATGTGATCGATTTGCCTCCATAGCTGGTTCGAGGCTGGTGGGCGCCAAGTCACCCTCCGGCGGGTGCTGTGTCGGAATTTAGTGCTCGCAAGTAATAAGCGAGCATCCTCACACCAATGAAGTAACCGCTCACCGTTGTCATTACGGGAGCCTATACCATGTTGGCCGCCCAGATGCAGCTCATCTGTGGATAATTTTCCAACTTGAGCGTTCAGATCCCCCGTCAGCACTACAGTGTCCGAGCTTCTTCTGTGGCGAAGGAGTTCGTTCAGTTGGTGATAGAAGTCGTCTTTTACCGAGTCATCGCTACAGTTTGTCGGTGTATAGGCAGCGATAACGAATAGACACCTGTTAGTCCCACGCGACTTCGAAGTTTTGAACGAGCCAGCCAATCGGACCGCACACATCCGGCTACTGATTGAATCTAATCAACCAGAGTAGCTTCAGCCCGGGGACTCAGGGCAATACCAACACCGGCTTGGCCGGTGCTGGAAGCTGCATCATCACCGGATAGGCGCAATGAGAAAGTGCTGCTAGTGTCATTTGAAGGGGATCGCAGAGTGAGTACAGAGCTCGAGTCTTGCAGGCGGGTCTCCGATAAGCAGCAGATATCGATCGAGAGGGTCTCTAATGTTCGGGCAAGTGCTGCCTGTTGACCGATCTAAAGCAATGTGCGAACATTGTGGCATGCCAGTCTGAAGGAGGATCGAGGGCTCCAAATGGAAGCCGATGAATTGGAATGGGCCGCTTGCTTTTACATGGGCCTGTTGACAGTGCAGGAATGACGCTCCGCGTTCAGCTGTGAGTTGAAACTAAAAGGCAAGCGACTATTGAAGCAAGGTGGGGGAGGGCCGAGAATTGGGGGTTGAAAACAGGGGGGATAAAAGTAAAGCTGGAACGGGACGATAAGGGTGAAAAAGCGCAAGAAGGGGAATAAGAAGGTGGGAAGGCTTGAGCAGTAGCATCCAAACCCCTATCCACCCTGCTCGATGCAGCAGATATGGTACCGTTGATTATCCTCTGATAAGGGCAGCCTTACTCTTCTCGGTATTTGCAAACGGCGTATCTAAACACTTTCGTTCATAAAATACACGATTTTGGCATAGCTGTTCAGATGAACGAGAGCTCAATTCACTCGCAGAAGCCAGTGTGTATGTACTCCGGGATGTTAGTTAGCGAGTTGGTTCACGTTAGTAGGATCTAGTTGGACGACTGTGCACAGTACTCGGGACTGCAGTGGATCCAGTTAGCCTGGCATTTTTAAAGGGCGGGAGAAATGAGGGGAGCGCAATTAACAATATAAAGAAGGCCGAAAGGATATAAGCAGCTATAAGCTGCTGACAGCATTTGCATAGAGTGAAAATGGATTGCATACACGACTACCGTCCGTTCCGTGACTGCACCCTGCTGGAGAATGACTCTAGTACCCAGAAATGTACACCCAAGAATACGTCACGTACCGTACAGGTCCAGTTTATGTGCTAAACTTTTAGGTATTTTTATGAAACAGTTTAACTATGTACGTTTCTAACTAACTAGTTGCAACGAACAAGCAAGTCGACAGCCAGCAGATGGACGTAATCTAGCCAAAGTATGAGATCTACGTTCAACTTACGCTTCGGTACGTCCTCGAGGTGATCTGTTGATAGGGATCAACTATGGAACAATGGTGTATTAGGGTATGAAATCTTCGCTTAACAACTTCGTGGGAAGGAAAGGATTTAAAAAGGAAAAGCTGATAATAACGGAAATAGCGTTTGGTTGGACTCGTCATGGTGCGCTCACTGAGGCTTGAGTAAAGGAGCCGAGATGTTCCTATATTTATATGTATGAATCGACCGATGAAATTTTGGAACATACTATTTGATTGCGATATGTAGCCTCAGGTTAACACGT